ATCCTGAAAGTGCCAAGGGGAACTGGCCTAATACTGCTTACCAGGGACAGAGTAGTTTAGGCCTAAGCCAGGAGGTATGGGCTTACTGGTCCTGGATCTATCACCACCCAGCTGTGTGACTTTGGGGAAGTCACTTCACTTCTCTGGGTTTCAGCTTCTTTGAAATCTAGAGAGTGAGCTAAATTACTTGGCCCCCAAGGGCCATTCCCACTCTTCTGGGACCTCAGCCAAACCTTGCTGACATGCCTAAGGACTCAGTCCTGTGCCCTTTACCCTTTCAGACTGCGAGGAAGAGTTGTTACATCTGGGGCCATCTTGTCATTTCCTCCCAAAAGGCTGTAAAGGGAAGTCTGTGGGTTTGTGAAACTGATAGTGGCTGAGAGGACCCAGATGACATGTAATATCTAGTATAGGAAAAGAAAGGCCATTCTTTGTTTCCCCTATAAGGAACTCCACATCAGAGTTCCTTACATCTCCTTCTAGGTTCATAGTGACAAAAAGAGGATAGAGGTCAAGCAATCCTGGGTCTCTGAATTGACTTGCCAGACCACGCCTAGTCACAAGAACCCTAAGTTCACTAGCTAAAAGGGACTCACAGGAGCAGCTGAAAATACTCCACTCCCCTTCCCCCTGCCCCATTTGGACCTCCAGCCCCCTCTACCCAGCCAGCTCAAGGCACTTGAGCTACACCAGATCTGGCAAGTCTATGTAAATTGGCTCTGACAGGGGACCCTAAGAATAATTTATGGTAAGGACAATGGTATTGTGAGCCCAAGTGGTATTGATATACAGCAGGTATGACAGGAGGGAGCAGAGAGTGGGTGGCAGGGATGGTGGATGGCTCTGCTGAAAAATTGAATTTCATTCTGGCTTCAGTGGGCAAGAGAAGGGAGGTACAGGAGAGAGTAGGCAGGTGGCTGGTAAGGATGTTAGCTCATATAGGAAACAGAGTATAAGAGAAAAGAGAAAAAATAGAGAGGAAAGAAGAGACAGCAAAAGCTAAGACAGAGAAGTCTTCTCTGGCTTCTTTCACAAAGAAGCCATCTGGAAGAGATGAATGAAATAAGGCATCAGGAGCCGGAGTGAGAAGGCAGGAGAAGGAGATGATCTGCCTGACCTCCTTCCCCCAACCTAAAGAAGCAAATGGAGGAGGTGCCCAAATGCCAGCAGTCCCCAAGTCCATAGAATGGGAAGAAAAGAAACTGAGATACAGGACACTGAAAGAGATGGCCCAATGTGCAAAGACAAAATGAAAATACCATAGAGAAAAGGATAGAAAGAGAGAGTCACAGACAGAAAATTGAGAGCAAAGTAGATGAAGACAGCTGGTGGCAGGGAGAATGAAAAAGAGGCTGTAAGAAACTGTTTTAAGGTAAGGTAGGGAGGAACTAAAGTGACACTTGTATAAAAGAGAGAATAAGAGACAAAAAGGTAAAGATAAGAAAATTAAATTGGAAAGAGAATCTGGATTAGAGCTGGAAAGAGCCTTGATCACCAGCTCAACATATTTATTTTGAAGAAATTGATGGTCAGCAAAGGAGAGAGATATTTGAGGTAGGCTTGTCTCCAAATTCCTGGTGGTGTCTGAGTCAGCCTCTCAATTACAGAAGATTCCTTTCTCCAGGAGGAGGGCATACCCCAAACCCTGTTCATCTTGTGTTGTTGTTGTCGGGGGTAACATGGTGGGGTGGGGGGGGGTAGGGAATGTACCTAGAAACCCTCCTTCACTAAAATAAGGGAGGTAAAAAGAGCACTTAGAGAAATTATAGAGGAGAAACCTGGAGAAATACATACAAAAAAAAAGTAATAGGACCATCTGGGAAGAAAATGAGAAGGACAAGAAAGAGAAAAAATATTGGAGAAATTTAGGAGTGCAGCAAAGGACTGGGGGCTGCACTCCTTTGGAGTGCAGGAGTGGAGTTCAGGAAGATGGGAGGGGAGGTCTGGGGCAATTAATCACCCTCAAGTCCCATCTGAAGGTCTGGAGCATTTAGGTCAAAGGAAAGGAGTAAAATCCTCAAGAAATGGAAGGGATTTTTTATAGGATTAGCAAAGGAGAGACAGGTGGCTTGTATCTGAGGTTATTTCAAAGGCAACAAAGGCAGGATTCTTGTCTCTCTCCACAAAGATGGTCCCAAGTAACTGCTACCACTCGCCTCCCTCTCACAGGGTCCTCAAGGGGCCAGCTAATCTTTGCTCCAGGCAGCAGGGCACACTCCAGGAGAGAAATCAATGAGTCACCCCTTTTCTTTGCTACCCTGACTTTCTAGGGCAAACAAAAAAATTGTTCTAGGGCCTAACCCCATTTCCTCAGCCTGTATTAACCCATCCCCTCTTTCCTCTCTCAGGCAGATGGGCAAATGCCTCACTACAGAGAAGTTCAAGTTCTGTTCTGAAAGCCACCCTCTGGTTGCTTTAAGATTCTTCGTTACTACAATTAGGAATATGGCTTCAGAGTCCAATCTGAGAGTAGCCAGAATGGCACTTCTGAGTTTCCTCAATAGGCTTAACTCACAGGAAGAAATGCAGGCTGGTCCCCAGACCCTCTGCAAAAAGGTCTCCAGGAATTTTTAGAAACAGCCCCACAATAAACAGCCTTAACTCTGAGAAATACAGAAAAGTGAGGGCTGGGGCAGCCATAAGGGGATTTTCTCCTTAACACTGAAACCAAAAGTGCCAGAAAGAAATCAAGATCTTCTGATACCAGATAGGAACTTGTAATTAAGGACACTTCTCTATTTCTAAGTCAAATGAGCTTTATTATTTTTTACAACTGCTTACAGCCCCGTCCCTCAAAATTAAAGGCCAGCAAAACCAGGTGTTAGAAATCTCCTTCCAAAGCCAGGAACCCTTCATCAGAGATTACTACAGATTCTCCAGCACTTGCAAGAGAGACTATCTGACTCTATGAGCCAGGTGAGCAACTAATGTAGGAAGGCATGGGGCTCTGATGAATGTTCTTTAAATTGGCACTGGCTCTCTACTAGTAACTCTGAGAAAGGCTGACTTGGCAGATATGCTACAAGCCTTTAACACAGGTGTATCCCCAGGCCCCATTGCTGAGTCTTCATTACAGGTTCCCAGGACAAGCAATAATAACTATGGCTTCCAGGGCAGCAGATTTTTCTTTTTATTCATATAAGAACTTTGTAATAGTACATGGCAGTGAGCTCCCACACTAAAGGTACTGAGGATGAGGGTGGATGACTACCTGTTAGCAATGTTACAGAAGGCTTTGAGTAATATTTAAGATCCTTTTCAATTCTGGCACTTTATAAAAAATTCTATTCACACATCTTATATATCTTCTTCTTACTTTGGACACATATCTATCAAATAATCAATTTGTAACACTTCAATTGAGGTGGACTGAAATGATTTGCAGTGTCAAAGTTTAAAGGAAGAAATACTGAATAGAGAATCTGCAGGGAAAAGAACAGTTCAAAAACAGTCTAGGATGGAAGTCAAAGACATAAGTAAGACTTTTGTCCTATGGCAATTAATCATGAAACTTTAATGAGATAGCATTGTTTTTATTTAGATCTGTAGTTTAGTTTGTAGCTGCACTGTAGTTTATTCTGGCTGCTTTTACACATGACTAGATTGTAAACTCCCTGAGGCAACAGGTGTATCTTAGTTGTGGATCTCCCAAATTTACTTGTACAAAAGTGCTTTGCACACAATAGGCACTTAATAAATACTTGTCACTTGATTAATTAAATTAATAATTAACAGGTAAAGCATATACACTAAGAATGACTTAATTCAATATTCATTCATTCATATAACAAACATTTTTAGTGTCTACTACATACCAGACACCATCCTGGGCTCTGGGATGCAAAGTGAACAAGATAAACCTGGTCTTGCCATCACCCAGCTTACAGTCTAGCCAACATATCCAAGTATTCAGACAATACATCATACTGAGTATCATGATGAAGCAACACAGAGAAAAGCACTTTAGATCAAAGAGTAAATTGCATTCTTCACATGTTTTGCTTCCATATTGGTCTTCCCTTGGGCTGAGACCCCTATCTTGTTGGCCTTTGTTAGTTCTAGGCCCTTTCTACAGTCATACAGGTTGGAAATTGGAGGCCTTGCTTGACACACACTAGAATATTCAATAAATAGTGATTTACTTACTAAACTTGCAGATGAGAAGGATTTCAACAGACAGAGAACAGTAGGGGAGGGCATTCCAAAGGAAACAGCATGGACCAAGACATGGAGACATAAAAAAACAGTGAGCATTTGGAAATGGCTAGAATTCAGGCACATAAAAAATTGGAATCAAGGTCATGTTTGTTTAAAATTTAAACACTTTCTCCTTCTGGGCATTCCTTAATGCCCTCCAGAAATTTCTAGGTTGCTGAGAAAAATTGCACATAGACAAAGGAAGAAGTCCAGATTCAGAAAGACAAAAGGGGAGGCTGTAGCTGATGACGTTGCAATGTGCCAATCTGATAAGGTTCAGGCATGGGCTTAGAATCGAAAGAAATCAGGCAGCTATTTGGGATGTAAGTATGTGTAGGTTTTGTGTTGTTGTTGTTGTGTTGTGTTGTTATTGGAGCACTAGGGCATCTCCCTCATTGACCAAGATGTTGGCAGGGGAAAGTTCTTACACTGAGCACATGGAAAGCTAGAAATATCAATGGATAGGGCCAGAGTGCAAAAAGCTAGGAAGATAATTGGAAGGAAAAGACCTCCCCCTCTGCCTTCCAGTACTGGATTAGGGGTAGGATCAGGGCAAAGCAAGCACATATGCCATAGAAGTCAAAGTGGCACAAGGGGAGGTGCTGGACCAAAAAGGTCTGTCAGTCTAGCCTGGGGAAAGAAGGAATTGATTGGGAGGTAGATCCTCCCGAAGTGCACAGAAGTTTGGGAAGTTGATCAGTCATTTTGAGAAAGAACTTGGTCTGTCCCATACCCAAACTAATATAATCCCAGGGGAACAAAGAGGTGGGCTTGTGGCTCACTTGCTCATGACCTGCACTTACATAGTGAACTCGCCTGTTCTCTCCATCGGCCACGTTGCCTTAGCAGCCACGTGGCCCATGGCCTCCAGGAGGGAGGCTCTCGTCCATCTAGTGATGCACTGGCTGGTGCTTTTGCATGCTCTTGTGGCCCTAGCAGCCGCATGGCCCATGACCATGTGGGCTCCATGCACAGCATCCACATGCAGGCTCCAGGAAGGAATCTGAAATGAACAGCAGTAGGGAACAAGCTAAGCTACCTGGATGGGGACAATGACTACTTAGTAGCTGCCTGGGGGCTCCAAAGGACTGTACTTTAAAATGGAACAAGAACTCTGGACACTGGCTTTTGTCTTGGTGTTGCTAAGGAAATGGGCTTTGAGGCAGGAGTCTGCCATTCTCCCAGATCATGCAGCACCTGAATAAAACCTCTTTCTTTTTGCACCAGCATCTGCTTCAAGAATTTGGCTTTTGTGGTGACAGACAGCTGAATATCGATTTTTCATTTGGTTACATGTGTGGTGGTGGGGTCGTGTCCTTGTTTGAATTCATGTGTCTAGTGAGCTTGTGTATCTTACTGTATATCTACATACAAGTATTGATATGTAGCCACCAAAAGAGAGAGTAGGGCACTTCTGCCTATAACTAGGGCATTCTAGGCTTTTCTAATTAATCTCCATTAAGAAGACTTCCCAAAAAGGTGCTTCTAAAGATCCCAAGTTAGGGACAACTAAATCAATCCTGCATAAAGTAAAAGCAGCTCTGACCGGCTGCTGAATTGATCCACCAAATTTTGTTCATTTTATACATGCTAGGGGCAGGGAATGTTAACTTGCTTCATGGAGTAGAGGGAACCTCCAAGTGGAGGCTCTGTAATTAACAGCTATTGAAGGAGGATCTGAATAGGCAGTGGCTGACATTGGGGGAGGGAAGACCCAGAGATTGTCCTTCAGGGTTGATGACACAGGATCTGGAGACTAGGGCTGGGAACTCAGGTCTCTCTGTTTGCTCCTGATATTTCCTGTTCTGACAGAGTGGCTGTGAAGAAGGTATTGATTTTCCTCTCCCACCCCATTCAAACAAGCTACTCTGACCAGTGCCCTCATGCATGCACTTTTCAATCATTTTTCTGTTTTTAGAATAGCATGGCAAGATGCTTTTATATTTTAATTTATTTAAATATATTTTATTGATTATGCTATTACAGTTGTCCCATTTTTTCTCCCCTTTATTCTCCTCTGTCCTATATCCCAACTCCAACCAGCATTCCCCCACCTTAGTTCATGTCCATGGGTCATACATATAAATTCTTTGGCTTCTCCATTTTCCATACTATTCTTACCCTCCCCCTGTCTATTTTGTACCTACCATTTATGCTTCTTATTTTCTGTACTTTTTCCCCCATTCTCCTCCCTCCCCACTGATAACCCTCCATGTGATCTCCATTTCTGTGATTCTGTTCCTGGTCCAGTTGTTTGCTTAGTTTGTTTTTCTTTTTGTTTTAGGTGTGGTTGCTGACAGCTGTGAGTTTGTTGTCATTTTACTGTTCATAGTATTGATCATTTTATTTTTCTTAGATAAATCCCTTTAACATTTCATATAATAAAGCTTTAGTGATGATTAACTCCTTTAACTTGACCTTATCTGGGAAGCACTTTCATCTGCCCTTCCCTTCTAAATGATAGCTTTGTGGGATAGAGTAATCTTGGATTTAGGTCCTCACCTTTCATGACTTTGAATACTTATATCCAACCCCTTCTTGCCTGCAAGGTTTCTTTTGAGAAAGCAGCTGACAGTCTTAAGGGCACTCCTTTGTAGATAACTGTCTCTTTTTCTCCTACTGCTTTTAAGACTCTCTCATTATTAATCTTGGGTAATGTAATTATGATGTGCCTTAGTGTGTTCCTCCTTGGGTCCAACTTATTTGGGACTCTCTGAGCTTCCTGGACTTCCTAGAAGTCTATTGCCTTTGTCGGGTTGGGGAATTTGTCCTTCATTATGTTTTCAAATTAAGTTTTCAATTTCTTGCTCTTCCTCTTCTCCTTCTGGCACCCCTATGATTTGGATGTTGGTTCATTTAAAGTTGTCCCAGTGGTTCCTAAGCATCTCCTCATTTTTTTTTTTGAATTCTTACTTCTTCATTCTGGTTTTGTTGAATGTTTTTTCTTCCTTCTGCTCCAAATCATTGATTTGAGCTGTGGTTTCCCTCCCATCACTATTTGTTCCCTGTACATTTTCCTTTATTTCACTTTGCATAGCCTGCACTTCTTCTTTTATTTTGTAACCATACTCTACCATTTCTGATTACCAGTGTTTTGAACTCTGCATCTGATATGTTGGCTACCTCTTCATTGCTTGGTTCTATTTTGGAAGCTTTGGTCTGGTCTTTCAATTGGGCCACATTTTTTTTGTCTCTATGCACCTGTTATGTTGTAAAGGGCAAAGCCTTAGGTATTTGCAAGAGCAGAGAAACCCACATCACTGTGTTGTGGCATGTATGTCGGGGAGGGGCCAGAGTGGGAATAGTGCTGCTTGCTCGGCTCTTGGCTGGCTTTCAGTCACTTCCCCCATTATCCACAAGCAAATTGGGTCCTTCTGGTACTGATTCCTAGGAGGGTGGGTTTGTGTACATTCTAGGACCCTGTTGGTTTCTCCAACTAACTCTCCTGTGAGGTGGGAGTTTCTCCCACTGCTGCAACCCCCACGTTTTTTCAGTCAGAGGTTTTGAGACTTTATTTCCCTGTGTTGGAACCCTGGGTTTCACAGCTTGTCTCACTCCTCAGTTGTTCCTCCTGGTTTGTCTGCACACAAATGTGGTACTGCCCAGCCCACCAACCACTGCCTCACCCACCTCAGTCCTCCAGCTACCTCCTTGCCTTGATTCCTCTCCACCCCAGATGCCCAACTCCACCCCTCCTAGCAGTTTGGATGAATGTTTCTTCTTTAACTTATTGGTTGTCAAACCTCCATACAGTTCAATTTTCTGGCAGTTCTGGTTACTTTTTGTTTTTAAATTTGTTATTGTCCTTCTTTTGTTTGTGCAAGGAGGCCAAATGTATCTATCTGTGCCTCCATCTTGGCCAGAAGTCCTCAACTTTTCTACTCACCAAAAATTTCAATGATCTGGGGAGCCCAACTTTGCTCACTTGTCTCTTTGTCTTATGTCCTGTTTCAGTTTCAGGACTGCCCAGAGGTCGGAGGAGAAGCCAGAGCACTTCATGGATGAAGTTGCTCACTAAAGCTTCACGAAAGACTGCATACAGAGGTGCCTGATGGGGCCCATGGCAAACAGACAAGAGAATACAGGTATAGAAGAAATATTGGAGAAAGTAGCCTGCTTCTTCCTTCATATCCTCTCTGTTTCTCTGATTCTCTCTTTGCCTTTTCAATCTCACCGTGTTACCCTTCCCTGCCCTCCAGTGAAATGGGGAGGGGTCTCTCCTTCCTTCACTTCCCTGGTCTCTTCAATAACTTAATGATTTCTCATTTAGCTCCCCAGTCCCTGATGGCAAGAGGCTCCCTTTGATTGTCTGTGACACCAATATCACAACAAATTTAGCACCTCATTTCCCAGAGAAGCCAATATTTCTCCTCAATTATCTCCCTGCCAGGGGACAGAGTGCCATGCATTTCAACAAGCAGCTTATGCCTTCCCTGATATCAGAGTCACTCAAGTTCCCAGGCTTCAGAAGGATGGATGGAAAGCAGTGGGGGGAGGCTCTCATGGGAGAACATTCAGGCTACAAGAGCAAGCAAAAGGCAGAGGAAGGGGCAGAGGAACAGGGAGGATTGTGAAGAACAGATAAAAGCCTCTGGACACCTGGCTCTCAACAAGTTTATGTGTAGATTCTCAGAAATTGAAGATGGGGATGGGAGCAGTTTGACCTTTGCTCAGACAATTCTGGAACTTCCTTCCCAAGACATTCCTGATATCCTAGCTTTTCTTTCAGCCATTCCCTAAACAATGGGCATGGGTCTAATAGAGAAGATGATGACCCTGGAATCATGCAATTTCACCCTAAAATGAAATGGAAGAAAGAGACACTTCCCTACTCTAAGCTCCCACTCTAGTATTCCTCCACACTTCATATTTTTTCCTAACAAAATCATCTGCTACTGGCTGACAGGCCAGAAGAGGCAAGTATCCTGTGAGGGCTCTGCCCTACATGACCAATTAGAGAAAATGAAAAGAAATTTATCCAGTCCAAGAGTCTATGAGTTAGAGGGATGTGGCTATAGGTTCTCTGAAGGGAGATGATGGAGGACAAAGTATACTAAAATAAGAGCCAAAGGGATTTTCCATAGAACCCTGGAAAATGCATGAAAGGAAGAGAGAGGTAGTGCTAAGAAAATATTGCTTTAGGGCAAGAAGGAAAACCAAGGGGAAGACAGAGAAACCTGAGAACACAGGAGACAGAAGGATCCCCTAAGTGTAAAAGATGGAAGTATGAAAGGCTGGGGCTAGGAGGGACAGTAGTGCCAGGAAAGGAGAGTAAGATGTGTGTATATTGTTTATCCATAGTGACTATGGACAGGGATGGAGAATGAGGAACTAGGCTTAGAGTCTCCCAGATCAAGAGCTCTAAGAGAGGATAGGAGTCATCAGACCCCACTCCTTGGAATGCAGAATGAAGGATTCCAGCCAGGAAAGGGGGAAGGAGAAATGGAAGAGGAAAGAGTAAGGGACTGATCATTAAGAGGGATGGCAGATGGTTCCTGTCATTAAATGGATTCCAGTAAGTCCAGGAAGCCTTAGACAGCAGAGACAAGCATGGATGAGCAGTGAGAGGAGAGAATTATGGAGCAGAGCCTTGAAGGAAGGAACTTGCACAGAAGCCTCACACCAACCTTTATGGGTTCTACATGATCTGATCCTTGTTCAGACGAGATTGGGCACGTTCAGGGTGGTATGGCCGTAGACAGATCCTTGTTCCTACTTCAATAGTAACCCCAAACCAAACTAAACCCCAAACCTAATCTTAACAATCAATCATTCAACCCCAAACCCTAATGAAAAAATATGCTGCTTCACATCTCAAATTCCCTCATTGCCTTGCCAGCAGAAGTAATAACAGATGTTGATTGAAAAAATAAGCACATAAACCAAACCTTCACCCTATCATTAAAGGTCATACTTGCTTCAAGCCTACCCCATACTGGCCACTGGTCAATCTCAAGCTCCAGCTTTTACTATATCCCCACCCCAATCCTAAAGGCTACTGTG